TTCACATGAAACACATGAAAACTGGTTCACATCCGATTCGGCCAACGCGTATCTGGAAAAGCACTGGCGAGTCGTCAATATACAGCTACTTCGGCAGATTCATAGAAACCTACCTGAGCACTGCTGCTCAATAAGTGCAAGTTCATGCGTTTACTCCATCATGTCACAGTAGAGAGTGGCCGGAAACGCGAACTTATTCGGAATGACAAGAAGTCCAGTACTTCGTCATCAGCTGCGATTCGATGCACAGACTTTTATATTGATCCGGAAAAGTACGCCGACTAAAAACTTGCGTTATCGATGCGTCTTCATTTGGCGCCTGCTTCTGGGGACACTTGCTGATAGATAACAGCTGCAATCCTCGTCACGAAAGAAGAACAGCCAAGATGCAGGCTAGGCTAAGGCGCACTCATCGACACCATTGACGGGTCGATTCACTGCTTGGTTGAACAATCGCCGAAGGCTTGCCTTTCAACGAGAGAGTGGCATGCATGCTGTTTCATTCTGCACTACACCGAAAAACAAAGGCAGACGTGACGCATAACAGATGAAGATCTCCATCACACAGTTCCACGACGAGTCAGCCAGGAGTGAATGATGTAGCAGGTTTCACGCCAAGGCCGCAATCACTTTCGAAGTTCTGCTGCAGAGGGTAGTTACAAGGGCAAACATTACGAGTCGTTGCAGACGGCACTGAAATGCAGCATTCTTAGCGTACGCATGCGGTCAGTGCGAGTACAACTGGGTCAGCTGATGGCGCCAATGTGTCACTACGAATTCGTGACCGCAGTAAGCCTTCAGGTAAAAACTTACCTTTGTCACTTCACGCTTCACAGCAGACGATGACGAATAAAGTTTTGCTACAGACGACAGCGCGTTCTGTTGATTTGATTGATTTGTGGGGTTTAACGTCCCAAAACCACCATATGATTATGAGAGACGCCGTAGTGGAGGGCTCCGGAAATTTTGACTACCTGGGGTTCTTTAACGTGCACCCAAATCTGAGCACACGGGCCTCGACATTTCCACCTCCATCGGAAATGCAGCCGCCGCAGCCGGGATTTGAACCCGCGACCTGCGGGTCAGCAGCCGAGTACCTTAGCCACTAGACCACCGCGGCGGGGCGCGTTCTGTTGCACAGACCACACACGACGAACGAAGCTCGGGACCTTGACAGCACGTAGCTGCTTGAATGCCGAGCTTATGGTTCGGGCTTCAGGGTGGACTACCCACTTTAGTTTAAAAGCAAATACTCCAGAAGACACTAAGCTTTGTGCCGAAGACCTCAGTGTCCCGGTACCATAGCCTCAGCAGACGACAGATGCCTAACTACGGCCGGCGGTCGCAGACGGAAATCAGTCACAGCATAGAATCGGTAGACAGGGGAGTACGACTATCGCCGTACGATGGGAACATGAAGAAACTCGGACGACAGGTGCTTGTACCAAATGAAGACTCCGGTAGTAGGCAAGAAGCGGGGCAGACGGCAGACGTGTGTACCGTGCGAAGACTCCAGAAGCGCAAAGAAGAGCAGACGACTATGAACGAACTGCGCGCGCGTTCCGGTACACAATGTTCCAGCCCGCACAGTAGCTTCACTTTCCATCCACCGTCACTGGGCCGTCTGGCTCGTGGTTTGAAAGTCGCCTCGTTTCGTTTAAGCGGCGGGAAAAAAAAGCAAAACGGCGATCGATGCCGCTGGGCGGCGTGCCGGTGCTATACACTGCTGGGTGGAGCTCTCTTTTCTAAGCGTGGGCCCTAGTCGATGTGGAGCATGGAGGAAGGCAGGTGGTCACGTGACGACGTACGTGATCGAGCCCCGGTCACGTGTTTTCTCGCGTATTCACGAGAGTGCACGAACGAGGCATGAGGCTTGCATTTCGCCGGAGCCCGTTTGTCCCGTGCGGTCGATGTTTCGGCGGTCGTCTGCGAGGCTGCGACACAATTTGTTTCGTGTGTTTTCGCGCTTCTTTTGTTTCTAACTCTTAGGTCGATCCCACTTTTCTCGCTGCTTTTTTGTACTTTTTTCTTCCGATAGACCTGTAGTAGTTGTTCATTTGTAACACTTTCACTTCAGAATCGCCTGCTTTCCGAAGCAGGTTAACGGTAGGGTTTACGAACGTTCCCTTCAGTTTTTCGCGGCAATTTTCTTTATCTCTTCTTATCTTGTAACTCACGCACCCCGCACGCCACCTCCTGTTGCCCCAGCTCGGGGTCAGCGATAACGACCGCTTATCGGGGCGAACGTGTTTTTCTTTCTTTTCGCCATATTTGTGACGTCACCGGCAACAAAACCACGAGCGCCGAAATGATGGGCGTGGTGGTACGTAGCAACTCGGGCAACAAAAACACTCCGACAGGCTGCCTTCGTGGTGAGGCAAACAGCCTGTTACATTGCGCGTTTTCTTTTCTTCTTTTTTTTTCTTACAAGTGTACACGCCTCAAAACTTGGTCGCCATTTATTCCTACTGTGCGCGAAATCCCCAAGAGCCATGGCGAAACTGGGTTTTGTGCAAGGCCACCATGAAAAGTGTTTGCGATCGAAATACGAAGCAGGTCACGCCAAAAATGGGTAGCCCTGAACACACTAGCTGTTCCTATTTTTGTCTCGTTGTGCAAATCTCTGGGGCGTTGTTTCTGAAAGGCGTACCCGTAGAAGAACTTTTGTACTATAAGATAACAAATACAATATTTATCGTGACAATGAAAAGTAGCACAGCGACCATGACCAAGTGTGACCCCAATAATTTCCCATTATTCGCTCTACCGTCTACGGTGGGTACAAACGAGATCTCGACGCTGGTTGCGGATCCTCAAGGCTTATGAAAGCCACGTGGACAGTAGCAGCGGCAGCAGCAGCAGTTGGCTGAATTCCGCCACATGGCAAACGTGGGGTGAACGACTACAGTCGCAGAGTACACATAGCCTTGTTCATATGTTACAATATAGTTATTCACACCAACGTCTTTTCAATAGGCAAATCCCGTAATTGAAGTAGGCGAGAAAGTCGTATTACGCCATGCTCAAATTTAGGGACCTCTTAAACAGTCCCTAATCCATACCGAGTTTGAAGGCGAAACAGTAGTTTCATTTTCGATTTCACTGCTTTGTGGTACAGGTGCTATCGCCTCCTCGCCACTTACTTTTTCAGCGAACACGTGTACTGTCAGCATTAGGAAAACTCCCAAGCATTTCCCCGAGGGTGAACATGGTTAAGTGCGAATACACGGGGTGATGCTATGAGGGGTATTTATTAATTCGCACTATTATATTTATTAATCACACTATGGTGCCTTTATGGTGTAATGGTTCATGGGAATCGCAATTTGATCACACGGGGGAGTTTACGTTAACTCACTGGCGAATGCCAACGGATTTTAACTTTACTCCCCCTCACGACCCGCTCTCGACGGGAGACTGAGAGAGAAGGCGGGCGCGCGAGAGAGAGGGGTGCGCGCGCAGCTGCAGCGAGCGAGGAGAGCGGAGGAGCGAGCGAAGGGGGAGGGGGTATAAGGCGCGTTACTGACACCGATATCAGCGTCGCGTCCGTGGCTTATTCGGTAGAGCGTCGCGCTGCGGCCCGCCAAGTCCTCTTTCTTTTAAAGATAGAGAGAAGACTGCGGACGCCGCCGACGGCGGTGGATGGTTTGGGGTCGCTTATAAAGTGTATTCACACTTAATACTATAGGAAGTCAGTATTTGGTGTTTTTCGACCACACTCTGCAACCTACACTTGCGCAGTTGCCGACGCACCCAATGGAGTGAAGCCAGTTTACCATGCGCGATTGTCATGCGAGACGAGGCAGACCTAGCATGCGACTGCGTGACAAAGCTGGATAGGCGACAGTTCACAACAGATACGTCTCGTATATCGACTAATCAAGAGGCCATTTCATCCTGGCGTCATGTGATCAAACAGCTGATGGACATCATGAATTGTGCTGCAAGGACGGGAAACGCTTGTTTTTCGTATTTTCAGAGGTGAAGTGGTTTAGGGGTCCTTTGAAACAAAGCTCGCTGATTATTTGATTGATTGATTGATTGATTGATATGTGGGGTTTAACGTCCCAAAACCACTATATGATTATGAGAGACGCCGTAGTGGAGGGCTCCGGAAATTTAGACCACCTGGGGTTCTTTAACGTGCACCCAAATCGCTGATTATTTAGTACTTCTGGCGTGTGTGAAATATAGTAGCGTACTATCTTTTAACCGCGGAACTGTTTAAGTTGCTACTTGGTCCGGAGGCGTTTGCGAAGCTCTGCCTAGTCGTGACGTCAGCTTGCGTTCCCTAGCAACGCATTAGAGGAACGAAAAGGGGAGTATAGTATTAGAGAAGTGTAGGCGAAGGAGCAAACAAAAGAAAATGAAGTTTCTTGAAGATGCGGCAATCGAAGCCGGCTACGCTAGTTCCAAAGGCTAGCATCGTGACCACTCGGCTATCCAGGCACCCCAGCTCAACAGGCATACAGGAAGTCACATAATTTCGTTGCTGTGGGCGACAGGACGAAAAAAAAGAGAGTGGGAGAGAGATAAAAAGACAAATAAGTAGATAGAGATAGAAGGTGATAGAAAGGAAGTGAAATAGAGAGAGAGAGAAAATGTGCACTTGGCTTTCTTAGGCTAAACTTACTTTTCACGGGCTTGAGCATCCGCTTCTCTGTGCTCGTTTGGCTATATCTAGGCGTAACTGGCCATCTCTAGGCTAAACTTGGCCGGTAAAGAAGACAGTTCGGCCCCGTTCCGTCAGGGTTGGCCCCACTAGCGAGAAGCTGACCAACATTTCTTTTTTTTTTTCAATGGCACCTCTTAGAAATGTTCTGTGGCCAACAACAGTGTTCAGCCTGTTCTCGTATATAGATTACGTAGAATAAACGGACATTGTATATAGTATAGACTATTTGGCACTCATAAATGGGGATGTGTTCATTTCACTATGCGCGTAACGATGCCGTTTGGTTTTCGAGCGCGAGGTACACCACAAAAGACAACACACAAGCATCGATGATTGGTTGACTTTATTTGCAAATGAACTGCGCAAAAACCACCAGCACTGCCACTGCACGCATGTGGGTGCACAGGCCTCGCGTACAAGGACCCCCACTCTCTCGTCACCCAGACAATAAAACTTTTTTTTAGAGTTGCAACGAAAGATCGAAAGAATGGGCAGACACTGACTGTGCAGGCACAGAGAAGAAAACGACACAGCACGAAAACTGGATGTCGAAGGGCCCCTAAGTCACTGTGTTTTCGATGGCAAGAAAGTGGTTTCTGTCTTGCCTTCCCTGCCAAGCTTTTTACAGGCGCTACCTTCTACGGGACGCTTGTTTCTTTAAAGACACATAGGCAAGGTTGCTGGTGGGAAGCCAAAAGTAGACCAAGTAGCCATGTCATTTAATAATATCGCCAAATTTGTAGCCAGACAGAAAAGGTGTGGTATTATGCACAGGGTCTTTACTATTGACGAACGAATAAAACCTTTTTGACTGCATAAAATCAGAAATTTGAAGGTAGCCAGTAGATAGTCATGGCACCAAATGGAAACTTTGGTGGACAAACAGGTCGAAAATAGCCAATATGGCGCAAAGTAGCCACCAAAGGCAAACCTGCACACGGGCAATGTCAGAGCTAAGTGTCCAGCCTACCAAAAGTATGCGCTTTTCAGAACCGCGATATTATGCCCTGTTCGCGCTGTATAAAAAAAAACCGAGTGAAATCAGTTTATTATGCCCGACAGTCATGCAAGGCGGTGTTTAGGGGGCGCGCGACCGGCACGATAATGCATGGTAAGAGACAATTTGCAACTGACGTTCTCATTATATTGCCCGATAGAAAACTTCATTTTCTCATGACTTTGAGTAAAACGCGGCTGGCGACACGAATTGTGGCGGAAAGATGGGAAGTGCCAGCAGAGAATGAAGCGGTCGGGCATGATGTTTTTGAGAGGCTAGTTAGGGGCCCTTTAACATCAATGAACGGGAGAGCGTTCGTGGATAAAGACGTGACGGGCTAAAACGTGTGTGACACAGGCGCGGCATCACACCCAGCACCTATATTCGTCAATAGGCATTCGCAGCGTCGTTCTAGCATAAATACGTGCACAACATTTAAACCGCGAAAGCGGCCCTTCGGGAAGCTGACACCATTTCCAACACCACCTTTTTTTTGAGAAAATTCTGAAGAAACAAAAAAAAAGACATGAGCAAATTTTTCACAGAAACACGTCTCTAATGTGCGTTGTCCACAAAATGAGATGATGCGACGCTATAAAAAAAAACAGCTTTGATTTCTCTTAAATTATAAAGCCGCGAACGCTAATGGAAGTGTGAAGGCTATAAAATGTTGCGAGTTATTTACAACTTAAGAGAGATAAAAGATAACAGTGATGCAGCAAAGCTTGGTGGGCTCTCATCCCAGCAGGCCAGGGAGGTGGCCTGTGTGCCACCTCTTCTCATCTTGTAAGCGATTGCCCCGCTATTTCAGTGACGCGTACACAGCACCGAATTCAAGAAGGCCTCACTATATATACCCCACTTACTTATTGATGAATAGACATACCGATCTGCCAAGGCTCAGTTTTTGTGACCTTTGGATGAGAGGTAATGCAAGGCACATCTCTGCAGCGTAGGCGCGAAGATCTGTAACGGCGTTCATAAAAATTTAAAAACATCGTTTACTGCCACTTTTAAACCGAGATATGGATCGTACTGTAGATCAAAGCAGCTTACACTAAGTGTATTTTTAGGACATTGCGCTTTTTTATCTTCGTGATAGCCTAGACCAGAACTACGGACACAGCTCTTTATACCATTATTTGGAGTTGCCTCAGCCAAAGGTTTCCTGGCAGTGCCTTCAGAGCATCCAAGAACAAGTGCTATAAAGTGCAAGGCGCTTCAGGACCCCTTGAAATGTGACGTCTCGTGTTTCTAGTGACGTCACAGATGCCGCAAACGACGACCAATCACGACGAGCGCACAAAAAAGAAGAAAAGCGAGAACACACACAACGCTACAACCAACCCCCGATTTGTCGCACAGCGTCCGCGATCTCGCGATGCACTTCCGTGCTGACGGAGTCTCTCGCGGAGGCGCATGGCGCCGGCGGTGACGTAGAGGAAACCTTCGTGACGTCACTTGCCGGCTTCGGCTTGGGCAACGTAGCGCCAGAGTACAGACCGCAGTTCCCGTGTCCCCGAAGAATGAAGTTGGCCTTGTACGCCGCGATGCCTGCCGGGAAGGGGCCTTCGTCGACGGGTGTGCCTTCCTGGCTCTTCAAGAGTTCTTCAGAGCCGCTTCGACGTGCGGTGGAAAGCGTGGAAAACCGAGAGCTTTTAGGAAAGCTCGCTGTTAGGCCTGCCTTGCTCCCATTGCTCACGGTACTCCCTGGTAACGTCATGGATCCGTCCAGAGATGTCTTTCCGGAGCCGTTCTTCGACGCACCGTTCGTCGACGTCGCGAGTCTCGTGCCCAGCTTGTCCTGCGGAAATGACGTGGACTTCTTATTCACGTCGCCGGAAGTAGGCGTCGGCTCTGCTCGAGTCAGTGCCGAAGATGACGTCGACAGGTTCGGCTGCTTCCGGAACATCGTTGCCAGAGCATTCGGTTCCTTTGACCTGTCCAGCAGGATGCCGTTGCTGATGATTTCGTGGGTGGATTCGTGGTGGTGCTGCTGCTGCTGGAGCTTCCGCCGGTCTTCCGACTTGCTGCGACGCCTAGCCGTGGCCGAGTCGACGAAGCGGTGGACGCCGACGACGCGGGGCTTCTCGTCGCTCGCGTCGCCCCTGGACGCCGAGCGACTGTTCTTGCGGAACAGTTTGGGCTCTGGAAGCGCCGGGTAGTTCCAGTCAATGACGTCGTCCTTGTCCGAACTGCCGTCGCTGTCGTGACTGGTACCGTTCACGGCGGCGGTCCTATTGCCGTTGCTGTGGTTACTATTCGATATGCTAGGAAGCGTCGATGAGGTGTTTTTGGTTTCGATTGCCTTCGGTGTGCTTGAGATCTGTGAAGAAAACGATGAAAAATAGGTCTGTAACATTTAACTCACTTAATACACATGCACACAGTGAACAAAATTTGAATGTTTCAAATGCGAAGCATTCTTTTGTAAACGAAAAAAACTTTAACCGTAGATCTATCTATCTATCTATCTATCTATCTATATATCTATCTATCTATCTATCTATAGATATATCTATCTATAGATATATCTATCTATCTATAGATCTATCTATCTATCTATAGATATATCTATCTATCTATATATAGATCTATCTATCTATCTATCTATCTATCTATCTATCTATCTATCTATCTATCTATCTATCTATCTATCTATAGATGTATCTATCTATCTATAGATCTATCTATCTATCTATGGATCTATCTATCTATCTATCTATCTATCTATCTGTCTGTCCGTCTATCTATCTGTCTGTCCGTCCGTCTGTCCGTCCGTCTGTCCGTCCGTCTGTCCGTCCATCTGTCCGTCCATCTGTCCGTTCATCTGTCCTTCCGTCTGTCCTTCCGTCTGTCCATCTGTCCGTCTGTCCGTCCGTCTATCTATCTATCTATCACTCAATCTATCTATCTATCTATCTATCTATCTATCTATCTATCTATCTATTTCTCTAGACATCGTCCCTCCCGTTAACCATGCGCTTTTTGTTTTCAAAAACACCATTCAGTCATACTTGGTTAAAGGTAACTAACTCGTCTGCTTCTCCTGCCTCTGATGTGAAACTGTCTGTATGATCGTTAAGGTATTTCAATAAATAAATAAATACCTTGAGCGAGGCGAGCGCCCTTTTTTCGGCGGGGATCATGTCGTCCGAATCGGACTGGAAGCCGTCCGGTGGTCTTATGGTGGGCACGTCGATGAGAACCTCCTCTCCGGCTGGCTGCTCGGTCTCGGTCGAGTACTCCAGGAAGCTGGAGCGGCCCGAGTCCGTGGCTTGCGCGTCGCTCTGGTCGCTGTCCTCCGTGTCCGAGGTCTTGGAAGAAGTCTGCGTGTAATAATGGATACCTAAATTGGATTGGGAGTGAAGTGGGGGGGGGGGGGGGCTGTGGGGGTGCTAATGTGCAACTGTCCATATGCACAGGTCCGCTTTGGTCTGACGTCATCATACACAGCTAGGCGACAGAGACCTTCAGCCAAATATTTTTTTAATGTGATGGCTTCTCAGGGGCTAAAGCAGATATCAACGCTACGGAGGCCTGGGAAGCCTTGCTTTGCCGGTCCTGGTGCAGCAGATCTTAAGGAAAGCATCCGCAGAGTGACTATCGCTTGACCAGGCGTACAGCCCACTCTACTCCAGTTTGATACATCATTTACAGCGCTGGGAAAGCTATCAAGACTCTTTGTAGTAAACGCGTTCGCACCATGGGATGTTGCTATAATTTTACCAGTCGTAATATCATTTCTCTCGTCCTTAGTGCGAGTAATGAATGTAGATGCTTTGTGCCTCGGATATAAGCAAGCCCCAGTTATACGGTTGTAATTAAGTTGTTCTCAGGGCTATACAGGTTACAAAAAAAGTAAGTAGATACATTAGTGGCTGCGCTAAAGAAAAAGGGACGCAATACCTCTCTGCCTTACACATAAGAAAATGCATTATTGTTACCATTATCGAAATAAGTGACGGACGTTACTTTTGATTTTATTCCACGGTCAGATACCTAATTAAATACATAATCACCACACGAGCCTACAATAACAATTTCGCATTTACAATGAAGCTCAAATGCAATACAGGTCATATACAATAAAGGTCATATTTTCCATAAAAGTTACAGCCTAAGCAACGACATTGCTCGAAATACAGAGAAAGCTAGAAGAAGTTCCACATATCTGCCTTCCTTACCAATATTATAGTGGCTTAAGGTTGCTTATGCAATTAATTGCAATGGCTTCTCAATTTAAAGCCCATTATAAAACCATTCTAGTAAATGTGAACCTTAACAAAATATGATTAATTTTTTTTCATCAACGCTCTCCGCAAGCATGTCGACTCCTAAACTCTCGACAGTTCCAGCAATGAACAGGGTGTTTTTATTTTTAAAAGTTTTAAAGCAAAAATAAAGCACGAATTTTGGAGCAACGATGAAATGCTCAAATGGCACATTTCCAGGGAAATCTTTTTTTTTTTACTTTATCCCGCGCAACTACACCGAGAAAGTACGAGTTTCGTGCTAAGGTATCGAAGTTAGGCCTTGATCGCATAGAAATTAAGTAACGGTAACCGAAATGGCAAATAAGAAGCAAAACTAATTTTAAAACAAAGTTCTTCGACAGTGCTTGGGCATCACAAAGAACAAATATAAGCAACAGCTGCATTTCAAAACTGTCATCGGAAAGCCTGCATCACTTCTTAAGAAACAATTACGCACTTTTTTTTTTAAGTAGGCACTCGGTGGATTTGCTGTGCGACTTTCCCGTATTCACTTTTAGGAAAAAGTCACAGTTTTGCCGCAAAGGCGAAGCAATGAACGCGATAGCAACAAATTGAAATGTCACGCGCAGAATGGATAGCAGAACGAAACATGCACCACGTTCCTCACGCACGGATGACGCACAAAACGTACTCACAGTGCGGATGCACACGAATAAGCGTCTCATTTGTTACTTTGCTATGTCTGAAAAGCGCGCCCTTTTCGCAAACGGAGACTGCAATGATTGCAGTGACCTTTGTGCACCCGGTAACTACAACAGAATCGTTCCAGCTAAAGCCCGAGGCCAGCCAAGGTGTACGATCCTCCCCTCCTTGCCGCCGCGAGATAAGGGTGCATGAGGGAGCGTCGCTCCCCTTCTCTAAGCAGGGCAAAGTACGCGTAGGAGATTAGAGCGGGTGCCGCTGCGCGATGTGGCGACATTAGGGAGCCTTCATGTGCATACGCCTCCGTGTTTTAGGGTGGTGTCAGCCTTTGACCCACCACCTGCCGCCGCCCGCTAGAACACAATGTTGCCAGTCCCGGTTTCCATGGAAACAAGCGCCCTGTTGCTTCTCGCGGCCAGGCGTTCTGCTCCGGCGCACTGCACCAGCTGCATGCTTGCGCGGCTGTGCAAGCTGCGGTATGAGCTGTGTTTGACTACACCGTAGACGTAGCTTCCGCAACGACACCATCCTCGCGGTAAGCGCACAGCAACTTTGGAGTGTAATTACCATGATGCTGCGTGCCGCAATGCAAAACCATCTAGAGACTGTCCCGCTTCCCGACTTCATCTAACCAACAGAAACGCTGGATTACACAAGTGAAGCGAGATTGCTTGGAGCCGACTACTTCTTCCCGTGTTTGTGAGGTGAGTACCCGTCGTATCGCGAGTGGATTAAGTATATCGCCGCATATTTCGTAGAAAAACTGGCTTAGTCATGCGATGGAAAGCAGTTTGAGCAAAGTAAACACCACAACTTGCACAGTAAAAAAAAATGTATCCGGCTTCGTTCGGCTACGCCGGGATATACGAGCGAAAGCTGGTTAACTTGAGTATGCTTGTTTATACTCGTAGTCGTAACGCATTTTACCAATCGAATGATATGACTAGTCGAGCGTGTGGCCCCTCATGCATTCATCGGTTTTCAAAGCCGTCGTCGCGTTCGTCGCAGGAAGCGCCAGGCCCGAAACCACCAACAGACACTCGCGTTCGCGTTTTTTTTTTTTGCGGGCAGATATTCGCGTTCCTGCACGTTCACCTCAGTAGCTGAGGAAGGGAATATGGAGAGGTAGACAGACGAGCCGACGAACGCGTTCCCTGTAGACTCTTGTAGTCTTGCGCAGTTGCAACACAAGTAAATATTGTGCGGCTTGCCATGGGGTATTCCTTCTTTCCTTCAATGACACGCAGAACCACACCGAAACTCTCTCAACCATGGCAAAAAGCATTTCGCTTTAATTATATAGAATGCGACAGGTTTACTGTTCGTGTCCGTCCGTCCTTTTGCCTGTCTATCGGTCCCGTCTGTCGGTGCAGTATATGTTCACTAAGCAAGTCGGTTGTTGACCCATGACACAAATGTGCCCTATGTACTGCGTCGTTAACTTTGTCGTCCTTTTGTTTCATAACCAGCCACAAAGATGATTTGATAACTTGAAATCAGTTTTTATTTGCTGCTTGTAGAGAAAACGTGAATGGACTCCGTATATGTGGTCGGCACCGTATATGACTTTTCACCCTATTACTTTATTATAGGCCCACTGCGAGGACACAAGCTTCCAGGAAAGGAGGCAGGACGGTTTGAAGAAATTTAGGCGAGACGCTGGTTGGATGCTGTTGGCAATAAAATCTGAACTAAAAAAACGTGGTTTGTCCCTTATTGCTCCCTTTGCTTCTCTTCTAGCCTAACATAAGAGCTTGGGGGGGGGGGGGGGGGGGGTTGGTGTAATATGATTGCGCGCCTTACTATTTTCCGGCAATGCTTAAAGCTCCTGAGGTTTTTAAGATGCCCATTGTACATATTCGTGCGCAGGAAATAAACTTACTGCCGGAAATTATATTACAGGCAAAATAAATATGTAGTATGAGAAACAGGCTAGCGGAGTTATGCGGTTTACAGATAATATCGCTTGCGGTTTACATGTTGTTCACAGAGAACCCGGTTTTTTATCTGCCTTCCCTGTCGTTATGGGTACCGTCATATAATACAGCACGGTCTCGAGCCTTGTACTAGAAGGCCTTTGAGGTGTCTGCAGTGGTACGGTGAATTTGCTTCAGGAATTGCGCGCTGACATTGCATTGCGTTCCCAGTTACATCGATTGATTGATTGATTTGTGGGGTTTAACGTCCCAAAACCACCATATGATTATGAGAGACGCCGTAGTGGAGGGCTCCGGAAATTTCGACCACCTGGGGTTCTTTAACGTGCACCCAAATCTGAGCACACGGGCCTACAACATTTCCGCCTCCATAGGAAATGCAGCCGCCGCAGCCGGGATTCGATCCCACGACCTGTGGGTTACCAGCCGAGTACCTTAGCCACTAGACCACCGTGGCGGGGCCCAGTTACATCGAGATTCTCCCCCTCGCAAATATAGGCTCCTTGAATATCCTCACCCCGCCAATGTGGTGGGTCTACCAGGTGGGTGAAACGAACTGTTTTTTAACAGTATTTTATACAAACTACAGTCACGGAACACGTTTTTTCTGCTCTACAAAACGGCGGCTAACTTCGAAAAACAACCTTTCAGCGTTCATAACTTGCTATATACATATTAAAAAAACCACCCCCTTCATGTTGAAACTCACGCTGCATGCCTTCAATGTAAATGAGCGACCACTCAGAACCAACATGGCGGCCCGTCAGGTATGGCAGCCGTTTTCACCAGTTGTAAGCAACCATGGTAGAAGTTGTCACCGCCCTAAAACACGGAGACGCGTGCACATGAAGGCTTCCTACATAGAGTTTCCTAATATACACTAGAGGGAACTCTGGTGCTAGTGTCTATGGGAGCTGCAACACACGGCGCTTCAGCGAGCATGGGAAGATATGGTATAGTACACACATTTGTCTAATCTTCGTACTTCTGGCCTGCTTTTGGCTCCGTGTGTGTTCGTGTGGCTTGAAGTTGTTTTCTCACGAAACAAAAATCAGCAAATGTTCAGTGGTTGCACTTCACCATCTTATTCTTTTAGACTTACCTTCCCAAATTGGGTCACGACGTTCAAAAGAGTGGAATCTTTCTTTCAAACTGAAACCGAAACACAGCAATAAACGAAGCCGCAAGTACGATTCACCGCCCGCAAGTACGAAGACTAGGCAAATGTGTGTACTACCCATCATTCCCTTGGTCGCTGAACGATCGCAGCGCCAGAGTCCCCTCTAGTTAATTTTAGGAAACTCTGTGGCTCCCTAGGCGACATTAAAGTCCCTGGATATTTTTAGCAAAGTACCGCCATTCTTTTAAACGAGCCACCACGCCACGCATACTCCTCTCCCGCCTCTCGGGCCACGACTAGCATCGCGCGTGTTGTCAGCATGTCAGCTGAAAATAGCGCTAAGAAACGCGGACACAAGACGAGGACACACGGCACAGGCGCTAACTTCCAACGTAATGTTTATTACCACCGCACGCTCGCCTATATCACCAAAAAAAAACATCACATGACATGAATGATGCGCACAAAAAATTAATTTCTTAGAAAATACAATTCTTTATCACTAAGCGTAAGAGAGGGAGTGCTGACGCACTTAGACCCCAGTGAAGCGATAGCCTCAGCCTCAATAATCTCTCTAGTAAGCTTGTGAAACATTTTCTTGATAACTGTGCATGCATTGAATATCGGCGCGCAGCCGCAGGTTTTACAATGTATGGCCAACCAACTCCCCTGGCCGTTTTTCACATTATTACAATGTTCTCTTAATCGATCATTAAGGCAACGGCCCGTCTGTCCAATATACTCTTTACCACAAGAAAGCGGGATACGATAAACAACGCATATGATACAGGGAACATAAACAGTTCGATGCTTCTTACTACAACCTTTGGGTTTTCCGTCATGGTCATGAAGGCCACAAAGGCTGACCAACTTCTTGGGAGCCGAAAATACAACCCTAACTTCAGAGCGCTTAGCTAATTTCTTTAGGTTGTGCGATATCTTGTGATAGTATGGTATGACGACTAGGTGCTTCGATTTCTCGGAATCACGACTCGCTGTACATCCTGGGTTTCGAAGCGTACGAAGCAAGCCTTCTGCAACTGAAGTTTGGACGTGCATAGGATAACCTGCTTTCAACAAACGGTCTGACTGATTATGAAAACTATTGGCGATTGCCTGCTCACAAGATTTGCTTAAAGCATGACGAAAACAATGACTGATGATGCCTCTTTTCACTAGTTTGGAGTGAGCTGATTGGTAAGAAAGGACCGGCTTGTTCATACGTGGTTGGTATGCCCAACATATGCGGTTAGGATGAAAGGTGCAACCTTCAGCCGCGTCCTCCGCTTCTGTCACGTCCATAATGTGTTCCGACGCATCCTCGGCTTCCGTTGACGCTAAACACTTGCAAGGAATTTTGTGCCAATTGCCAGTGCAGTGGCTGACGACAATGAGGACTTATGGCTGAAGTGGGTATGCACCACAGTTAACATGTGAACAAGAACAAGCTTTTGTGATGGTTTGAAGTATTGGACGGCCCACTCGTTACGCTATCCGTATTGTGCGATGACAGGTTGTTCTTTCGCTGTAGTAAAACGCTTTATAAGTCGTCTTAACGCGAATGCTTTCCCGACATCAAGCCTGCCTAAGGCATGTTTGAGAACAAGTAACAAGCACCAGTGCAGCTCAGTGGTAGAATACTGGGCTGGCACCGAGCGGACCCGGTTTCGAGCCCCACAGTGCCATTCGTGTTAGGTCATGCCTGTCTAGAGCAAGTTGTTTGAAAACAAGTTATAAACACTGGTGTAACGCAGTGGTAAAAATATTGGCATGGCACGCAGCGGGCCCGGGTACCGATTTCGTGCGATGTGGCCACGGACACCGGCGGTGGCGGAGAACAACTGCGCGTGACCCGAAAAGTGATGTCGTAACAGCCTCCGCTGTAAAATTGTTAACGGTTAAGAGTGCTACTATGGGAGAGCAAAATGCCGTCCCATGAGCCTCATGCGGGATCATTGAAATGATGACATTTTTCTTGGAGATATTATCATGCAACAGCTGCTAACATGAGTACTCTGTAAGACCATCGTCATTTTTCTAGTTGTGCTGTCAGTTTCCTTCAATGTAGGTATTAATATTGTCAATTCACGTAATGCTTAAACAAACTCTCCCTATTTGCATTATGCCTACTCTAGACGTTTTAAACTAAAATTGTTACTTAAAAAAAACTCGTGACGATGACATTTCCGCAATGTGAATCTGATATGGGGTGCAGAGCAAAAAACTCGCAGGCCTAAGGCGTCTGTCTCTAAGGCGAAACTCCTTAAGCCGTGGGTCGTTCCCTTCTCTTTAGTAGTAGTAGTAGTAGTAGTAGTAGTAGTAGTAGTAATAGTAGTAGTAGTAGTAGTAGTAGTAGTAGTAGTAGTATGTGGTCACCTCTACATTATGAGTTGCTCAATAGATGGTGTTGTGTGATATGTCCTCGGGAATGTAACTAGATGGCGTTAGTGGTTTTCACAGCATATCCACGGATTGAATGATGACGAGTGGGGAAAAGCGTCCATGCGTCCGTGTGTCCATCTGTCCATGCATCCATTTACCTATCCGTCCGTGAAAATGCACTCATACCAGCTTACGTAATTCAGCATTAGTTAGGTATCTAAGGCTTTCGCATCGAACTGCTTACAAATAGATATCAAATGTATTCCACATATGTTTCAGGAATGCGTGTTGAATGAGGACAAGCTTCACTATACTACACTAGCTGTTTATAGTAAACGTTTGGCACACAGCTTACAGTTTGCAAACTCTGCGCCTCCTGCAATCCTGCAACACAACCCCGTCTCCCACGCTGGTTCTAATAACGAGCCCGGAAAGTGTGGCCTACCTTTGGTTCCTCGATCACTTTCTTGAGGGTAAGCACTTCTTGCTTGAGGTCTTCACACTTCTCCTTAAGCTGCAGAAAAAATTGAACAACCCACCGGTTACACGATAAATGAATTTTCTCATTATTTGATAATACTGTCAACCTCGTCAGAAGCTGTGGCTGGAAAGGCACATGAAAATTTTCTTTGGTTATACTGAGTCATTAGAGGGTGTTAAATGGGATGTAATAGGGCTCAGCGAAGTTAGGAGGACACGTGAGGCTTATGGAGTGCTGAAGAATGGATACGTCCTATGCTACCGTGGATTAGTTGACAGAAAAGAACTAGGAGTGGTGTTTTACATACACAAGAATATTTCTGGCAACATAGAAGAATATATTAGCATCAGGGACAGGGTGGCAAGTATCAGAATTAAGTTTAACAAAATGGACAAGATCAAGGTGTTACAGGCCTACGCGCCTACATAGAACCTTGATGATCATATGGTTGAACGCTTTCACGAAGACGTAGAGTCAGCCATTAGTAAAGTAAAGACACAGTATACTATCCTCATGGGCGATTTTCACTAATACCTTGTGTTTTATTTCACTAAGACCTTGTGTTGAATGACTATATCTTAATGACAACTTTCTGGTTACTCACCTCTCGTTCAACTTGGATCAGGTTCATCTTGTCTTCCTCCAGTTTTCTGAGGGCACGCCTAAGGAGTTCCACCTAATGTACCAAGCAAAGTTGAGACACTGGCAGTTTTGGTGACTTTCAATTCATTTTTTGAGTCGTAAAACGTTGGCCACATTTCTGTTAAAGGTAAGGAACTGTTGGCAGGCTCTGAATTCGAAGTTCATCTTGACACCAAACATCAATTTTTTTCCCCTTTATGCGAAACCCATCTCTTTTGAGATATGTCAATGGCTGTCAAATTTGAGGCCTCTCGTATGCTGCTGACGACCACTGCCTCTAACTTTGTTGGGCGTTCGTACTTATAGAATTGCTTTCTACAGCACACGTTCGACTATATGTGGGTTAGGGTGCTTTGAAAAGCACACCAGGAAGGGTGTTGAATTCCAAGTAGACCCAAGCAAGACAAAGATGGATGTTGGGAAGGGTTGAAAATAATTAAACAAAGGACGTCACAGGAACTATGAGTTCAGCAAGTGGTTTTGTTTTGTTGGCGCTTTGAGAAAAACAGGACCACTTGCCCAAGTTTATCCCAATGCCCAAACAGCGATTCCAGTGAGACCCTCGCTCAACAAGTTAGAATATGAAGGCAGGGGGTTTCTTGGTCCCTTTAGCATGTGAAGCAACCCTCCAGTATCTATACAAAATTCATTTCTGGGACAGTTGGTTCGTAAATACTGGAGAGTGTGAATTCGACATTAGACAGCGAACGAACACTGATGCACAGGAAATGTGCTGTGCGTCTGTGTACCATTTACATTAAAGGAACACAAATTCATAGGTCCAGCACTTATGCGTCAATATTCCTTCTCTGTCCTGTGTAGAACCCGTGCTATATTCAGTCTTCAGGCTGACTCTCCGATGACTGAGAACGAAAACAACTATAATGTTCTCGTACGTACCTCGGTGCGCAGCTTGCCGTTCTCGCTGCCTACCCGCTTGTGTTCGTTGAGGGCTGTGCTGACGTCGAGGTAGTTGCGCTTCCAGCGACCAATCTCCTCCCACACGTCGTCCGTCGAAGGAACACCCTTCTCGTGCAGGTTCTGCACGATGGGTGAAGTACACTGAGTCACCTCGACGAAGAGGTATCACTTCACTTTCATTTTTAAAGACCCTTCATACGGCGTGTTAACATTGAAATCGAGAATAACCCTTGTGTGGCATACTAGTTTAGGGATATAATATCCCTTATTTCCCCTGTCATTAGCACCCCTGAAAGATCTCGGGATTCGCCAAGAGGAGCATGTATGTTCAAGAACTATAGTACTATTCAGACTTTGTGGAAATGTTCTCCAGCGATCAGATGGGTGAGGTCTTTCTAGTCAGTCGTTTATCGGCAACGGAAGGCGTTGAGAAATATGCGGATACCGGAGAAATTTTCTAATCTCGAAAGACAGCTGAAATAAGTCCACTTAAATTTTTTATTTTGTGGGGAGAATACATAACTGCTCATGTAAGAAAATGCTGAAGGCAATAAAATGCCCGAAGGGTTCTGACCCCTTGAACGATATAATGCAAGTGTATTAGCTCAGCGATGTAACGTACATTTTATTTGGCACATTGTATTTGCTTCGTTTTACAGCTAATGATACACTTATGTATGTAGACATAGGGATTCAAGAAGTCGCGCACACTTAAAACACGTGTATTTTTTTTATGAATAAACATCCATAAAAAACATACAATAGTGTTTATCCAAGGCGCTGTGCTTACAATGCTACGGTTTGCACGAAAGGGTGGGTGTTTTCAACGCTTTGCTAAAACGATACGGCGCTGCTACCTGTACCGTGTCTGTGCATTCTACAGGTCCTTTCGTTTTTTTCAGGTTGTTGCTAGATGGCGCTCATGTCTCACGCAGCACCTAATGATCTGATTCATTAAACTTCGCACACATAACATCAAATACACCTTTAATTCTCCCTCTCCAGACATAAGCCTACCGTGTTCAGGCGAAATTTGCAGTGAAACACGCAGATACACGGCCCACTTCTTTCGTTTGTTCTCGGGAGTACTTTTTTTGTATTGCAATAGCACGAATATTGTCTGTGTGCGCACTCTTATTCAGTTAAAGGTATTTTGTTGTCGCGAGAATTAAAAAAAAATATGTGTAGCATATATGGCAAAGCGGCGTGCTATGCGTCAACATTCATTTCCTTACACTTGTATTTCTTGTAGATTGTCGTCGGACAGACACAGTGTCACTGATTTTGAGCCACTGCATTCAACACATTATTAAGAAGCAACTGACAGAAAAAAGGTCGTGTTTGATACAGGCGTGGATCCAGGTAGCAGTAATTGGTGCGCTGTGGAAGTTCTTAGCATCTAATAATACTGTTATCATTTCACCACGCAGAGAAGCTAATCGCGAAAGTCCGCACAGTAGGCAGCAGTTGCCCGCTGTGTGGGAGAGCCTGTCGAAGCGGTTCATGTTATGAGCGTTTCATCTCATAGGACTACGGTGCGAGAGTCGTTCGAAGTCGTTCCCGGTCTAGCAAGAGGCGCTAACCTTTTCGAGGACAGTGACGTCGAAGCCGGCCTCTTCGAGTTCACTCTGCAGACGTACTCGCTCGGACGGTGTCTTGCTGTTGGACAGCAGGATGTTGAAGAAGTACATCGCAGAGAACTGCTCGTTGGCCGTGGGATGGTGGAGAACCGATGAGGAGGAAGAAAAGAACGTGTAATGAGAAAACCATGCCTACCGTCTTCATGTTCTACTGTATTCAAGTACTCTTGAAGGGAACCAACCGTGAACAGCGCAACAAAACGAATGTTACTGCTGGAACCACTCCCATTAACTGCCGGGGCTCGTATTATACTCTCTGACATACAACAAGTGTTCATCGATGAACCCATTGCAACAGAAGCAAGGTCGAGAACTGAAGACAAGACAGCAGCCAGCTCGACTTGTCTTGTCTCACCTTCTTGTTTTCCTTGTGCGGCTTTCTATAGAACCATCTTCTACGAAAGACTCAGACCAACGAGCTCATTTTGAAACCTTCCTAAACAGGATATTTGCAATATTTCAGGGCTATAATGAGGTAAAAGCAGTTTCAGGTGCACTGTTGCATACACTACGAATTCAAGGAATATTTAGGGCTTTTGTAAAAAGAAACCCAAAAACATTACACTCGACGCGTGTCTAATGGTGCTTATGAAGTGCTTTCTAAATAAACCATTTCATTAGAAACATTGATGGGCATATTCAGAATTTTTAGCGGCTCTTACAACGTCATTCTAAATTTCATTTTGGGACCAAGCAAACGCCCCTTTCTCTAATCTGCTCGGATGATTCCTCCCTATAGGTGGGGAGGGGGGGTCATGCTCGGCATTTTACGCTAGTCAAACTGAAAGAATAAACTCTCCGCCTGCATGCGACTCCTTTCCCTGGGCTGGATCACATTCTTGGCGGCGCCACCCCAGTTTCCGTGTTGCGTCGTTCTGTCGAACGAGCATATAGCAGTAGGCAGATAAATGTTATCCCATCGCAAACGATGGAGATGGCTGTGTTCCAGTTCTTGGACAGCACGTATACAGTCTACGAAGACTGCTTAGAAGACACCATCGAGCCCATGCGGTACGAGTAATGGAACACATTTAGACGGGTTTCACGCGACTATGCGCCACTTCGCGTCAAGAAGAAAAAAGCTAAAATATACAAACGTAACAGTTGTAATTTCTGGCTTATTTCGTGCTGCAATAAAAAAAACAAATAAACGTTACTCACATTGAGCGTCCGGGAAAGCGTCTGTTGGTGTGCAGACGGCCATTCCGGCGAGATTTGATCTATCTGAGCGATTCCCTGAGCCGCCATCTTGTTTAGACAGCAAAGTAGCCTGCACCGTATTTCTCTACGACGCGGTCTTCTCGGAACTGTCTATTTTGCCGGCTACGAGAGTCAGAATGAGACATAAGATGGCCGCCATTCATTTAGGTGTCAATCTATCCATCTACGCTGAGTATTGGAACACAGCCGATGTGCGATGAACAGGTTGGTAGAAGTAGTCATGGAAAGTCGGTAGCTGCAGGCGCAAAAAAGCTCGCCCTCGTTTTAAAAGTAGTAAACTTAAAGAAAAAAACTGCGGGGACCGTGCTCTGACCTCGAATCCGGCCGTCATCTTGCCTCCACCCAGCAACATGGAGACGAGGAACTTGAAGCGCACTGGCTCTCCGAAGATGAGTCGCACCGACGACATGGCCTCGAGCACCTTCACGTGACCCGCAGGGTGGTCCTCGCACGTCTTGGTCAAGAGCTGCCGAAACGAAAGAGCGAATATGTAGCGAAAAAATGCAAACGTGCATGTGCCTCGAAACCATCAGCCACGTCTGGTCGAACGGGCAGTGGGTATACACAGACGGAAGACGAAGAGTCGGACGTCACGAACGTCGACTTAATTACTACGACTGAAAGTTCATTGCGTGCGCAATCAAAATGTGCGTCTAGGTCACGTGGCGCGTACTGGTTGGTGGTCTAGTGGAGAGTTCCCAACATCCGGTGTTCTTTAACGAGCGCCGACAACGCAGGACACACGGGTCTCTACCGTTTCGCCTCCGTCGAAGTGCGACCCTCCCAGCCGGTATCGAACCCGCTACCTTCGGGTGAGGAGACGAACCCCTTAACCACTGCTCCACCACGACGAATGACTGACTCTTACGACCTGCCACCTTAAACCAGGAGCCGCACTGTATATCATAAACGATTTCCTGTCTATGGGTCACGGACTTCGCGTGGCAGTGAGGGGCACCACTGGTAAGGCTGTATAACCGGAAGAGACACTTGGCCCTCCTCGACGAAGCTGCGCGAGTCACAAGAGGCAGTCAAGGCCTGGACTGAGGGCCCAGCCAGACATGTCATAGCGTCCTTTAACTATCACGCGAACTTCGATCCTCTTCACTTAATCTACGATCTCCCTTCTTGTCACCGCACATTTTTTCACTTCTTATTCGCTCAAAAGATATACGTTCATTGCTAGTAGTATGTAGACGAGTGTCTCAATGCCAAGCTACTGCAGTGTGACACTCGGTTACCAAATCAGTTATTACAGGTGATCAGTTATTACAGAAGGTCAAAATTTCACATTGTAAGCGTAGATGAGTAGTGGACGCACTCGCAGAAAAAAAAACACGTTCGTTGCTATACGAGGAGCACGTAACGGTGAGTTATAAATGTACCAGAACTAACCATAAAATACAAATCTAAATTTACAAACATTTTTAGAGCAACGGTGTCCAATGTTTTGCGTAACAAACTATTATGATTTAATAATTACGCAAAATAGTTCTTATATTCCTGTTTGACTGCATCCACTGAAGATGATGATTTACCTCTGTAGGGTGTTGCTCCATTATTAATGCTCCGTGATGGAGAATGTAATTTTGCCACAGTCGGTGTTACATTTAGGTAAATGGAAAGCTGCGATTATAGGTAAACGTGGTGCTATGGGTATTTGTGAGCAATCTATAGGGTCGATCCAAAGGCTGTCTTTAAAGTCGTTTACATTGAATGAGGGCGAAATGAAAATTTAGAAACCAGAGACCTTTGCCAAGTGAATTAGCAGCACCAGTTCTTGCTCATGTGTTGGAAAAATCACCCTCCAGCACAATACCTGTGTTCATTCTAGCCTGCGTATGTCTCCATTGCGAGAGACAACATTTCTGTCACTCACACGAATGTCACCCACACGAAATGTGGCAAGCCAAAGTTCACACTTTGTTCTCCGTATAGCAGATCATTTACCAAGCGAGTCTTTATTACAAAGAGTTTAAAATGAATGCATACCGCGTGTGACCTTGTTCGAGGATCAACTGTATATGCACAGTCATAATGGTACCCCCAACTTTTATTTTTCGCCGAAAACCGTGAATTCATGCATGACCATGACATGGCCTCTTTAATTAAGCTACTGAACTAGTATGTTCTTCCGACGAGCACGAAAGCCGAGGCAATGAGTCATTACATCAAGGTCAGGCACGATAACATCTCTGAATGCCATAATTTAAAGGGGAAGTAAACACTCATTCAACTAGTTTTCAAGGTGCCCATGAAGCGTTGTAAGCACTCTTACTGATAGGTAACAAAAGAAAAGAGGAAAAGAAGAATAACAACAACTTAACGTGAAGAACGATCAATACATGATGTCATTATAAAATAATAAATATCCTTTAATATGTACGCCATGGCTGAAAAGGATATAGGTTGTCAAATTGCTGCAACTTCTCGTAGCAGCTACTATTTCTCGCGCAACGTGACAGCCCTTTCCGGCCTCAGTTGTAGCTTACCTCTAGAGCCAGCTTCCGAGACTTGCTGCAGTTGGACATGATGCTTGACGCGATGGTGCAGAGCCCACTGCCGTGGTTGACAATCTTCGCGAGAGATTTCTGCGAAAGGGATTACAGCGAGTGAAAAAAAAATATTCCAACAATATGCGCCTCAAACATGACCCCATAATTGCATTGGCTGAAAACGTTATAATTGTGTACATCAGTTCGGCCGAAATTACTGGGGCACTATATCCCACGCCATCTTTGGGAGCGGTGGTCGTAGGTTTGATGGTTTTCCCAACGGTAGAAAGCTCTTCTGTTGAGCATTTCCGTTTCCTTTTAATTGATTTGTCGGCTTTAACATCCCAAAAGCACCATATGAATATGAGAGACGCCGTAGTGGAGGGCTCCGGAAATTTCGACCACCTGGGGTTCTTTAACGTGCACCCAAATCTGAGCACACGGGCCTACGACATTTCCGCCTCCATCGGAAATGCAGCCGCCGCAGCCGGGATTCGATCCCGCGACCTGCGGGTCAGCAGCCGAGTGCCTTAGCCACTAGACCACCGCGGCGCGGCGTTTGCTTTTAATAAATATTTCTTCCACTTTACAAAAGTAATTTTCCTCTTCCCATGGATTCAAGTACCAATGGGTACATATTATTTTTTTTTTGTTTAGCATACATATACATTAAAAATCACGACCTCATGTCGAGGCACCAGCCCTTTTAACACTCGTTCGAATAAAGACCACTTTTCGAAAGCGACGTCAAAATATGTTCTTCCCCCAAGAAACATTCACTCAAGTATCAGTGCACTGTCCTTAAAGAGACACTAAAGGCAACTAGTAGGTCAACGTTGATTGCTGAAATGGCGGTCCAGAAACCTCGTACTGTTACTTTTGTGCCAAGGAAAGGCCTATTTTGAAATAAAATCACGTTTTAGTGGTCCGCATCGAGTTAGCGCACTTCAAATTACCCGCCTCTACAAACAGACTCACCGGACTGTTTCACATCGCTGTTGCCGTGCACAACGTTACCTGGCTTTACCGCGCCAGTAGCAGCAGACCGAAATCAGCGGGAGCCACAGCAGCAACAACGGCCATTGATCAATTTCCCGCCATTAGCTTCGAGATGGCCGACGTTTTTTGTTTCAACTGCGTTTTGCTAGATGGCGCTACATGTCCCATGTAACCACGCGAAAATTTAATTTTTAATCACTCGCGCATTCTCCATAGTAACGTCCGGCGGTTCTTTTTTCATTGAATCAAACAGAAACGACAAATTTTTTTGCGTCTGTTGATCCATGGAAGGTTCTTTATTTAGTGCAGTTAGATCGATTACTAGTGATTATTTGAAGGCGGTCCATCTGATGTCGTCGGGATCATTTTGAAAATATCCTACTGCGGTGCTTGTGTTCTTGTGCATTTACTTTAATTTCTCGGTAAGTAGGGCACTGTTGTTGATAATATTGTCGTTTTAGATGTTGTCATACATTGATCTTTCATTCCGACGTAAATTGTTATTTGACTTTAGTGTTCCTTTAAACACATCATTGTTCGTACTTAGTTCGTACGGCCTTAATATAAACCCTCGGTTGCTTGGGTAAAGAATGAAAGTTTGCTTCAGAAAACGAGAAAGACACTCACTTGGCATCGGAGCGAGTAGAAAAGGCATTGTAGGCAGTCCAGTTCTTCTGACTGAAAAGAAACAAATAAAAAAAAAGTAAGAGGTACGCTTTCATGGACAAACGTCACCGCAATAAAATTTCACTTTGAACAAACTGATAAGGAAAAATTAAATGTTCGTATTACATACTGTTTCAAGAACTTGGTGGTAACCTTAGATATCTCCGTTTCTGTAGTCTCACTCAAGTGTGCACACAAGCATTGGTTGCCCGCACTGCAAGCCCACAGTACAGCCATAAACATTTTTCGGGTGGGGTCTACAATTTCTTTCGTGGGATTTGTGTGCATGGTGTTATGTATGCGCGTATGTATTCACACAAAATGAACAATTATATTTTTAAGGAAAGAGGGGGGGGGGGGGGCAGGTTGAAGCAGCCAAAGCATTTGAGTGGCTAGCCACTGCTGTACTGAACACAGCAGTGCAGGACAATATTCAGTCTGGCGGTCCCAGTACCATAGAAAGAAAATTGCTCAGTTATGTGAATTATAGGTCTAATGACGTTGGAGACTTTTTTTTTTTTTTGCCTTACTAAGAACCCATCCACGACCAAAGTGCCTTTGGTTTGTCAAATTCTCCTCCCTTAAAAGTTCACTTTAACTGGGTTCATCTGATAACCAAGAGCCTCCTCTCCCAGTACACTTGCCGCGTGACTTCTTGAACCCGTTTTGAGAACAGTATATTGTACCGCGTATTTCAATGACTCAAGATGAACGTGGAACATGGGGAATATCAGGCTTTATCAATTAAAATATGGGGAATGAAGAAATTTAATCGAATTAAATGAAAGTGTAAATGGGAAAGGAATGAAGCTGGAAGACATTGTGTCCCAGGGGGCCAGAATTATAGCAAACCAGACCACCGGGCTAAACAAAAACATCTGAGGAGTGTAGCGCCCCTATGAGACACTTCAACGGGGTTGCAAATCTGTGGGTCTGAATGCGCGTGCACTCAACGATGCTCGCGCCACCTCGGAGGCCCAGAGAAGTTTACGAAGTCAATTCATAGATGGAAGCACCAACTGCGACTTTGGGCAAGTGGCGCGTGGATTTGGTTGAGTGTATGGGTGCGTGTCACGGATACTTGCACCTCCTAGGTAAGCTGGATTCATGAACTTCAATATATTATTTTGCATAACGTTTTTGCGGGCGAAGCCCCTTACGCAGTGGGTCGTACGTCCCGTGTCATCGTAGTTGTCGTAGTCGTAGTAGCCAGTCGCATTGCATTTCAGGTAAATAAAAACGTTGTCACAGCATATCCACGGAGTTAATGATTATGAGTGGGGCGAAGCAGCTGTCAGTCCGTCCATATTTCCGTACGTCCGTCTGACCTACTGCGCGTCCGTCCGTGCGTCCGTCTATGCGTGCGTACGACCGTCAGTCCGCGCGTGCGTTCGTCCGTGCGTATGTCCGTGCGTATGTCCGTGCGTCCATCCATCCGCCCGTATGCTTCGCCCATTCGTCATCGTTCACCTCGTGGATATGCTGCGGCTTTTTTTTTCTGTTTTTTTTCATGAATTTCCTTGATAACAGCCTGTTTAAGGCAGTAGGACTTGGGCAGGTTACATGTTATGTTCATACCATGCTTTCATTTCGTTTGCTCGGTCTTGTACTATTTGTAGGAACATATGGCAGTCAAAACCGGAAAACTGTGAACCAATGCAGATGGTCATGAAGGCACAGATCTTTGCCGAACTGTGAACGCTAAAATGTAACTCGCTACAATAGTAGTAATAAAAAAATTTGTTTTTGTTTTCTCTGTTAAAGTAGATGTGTATATTTCCCAAACAAACACTTACAATAACAAGTACTGCTGACTGGTTGAGTTGGTGCATGATAAAATTATATTGCATTGAGCGAGGCTCTGTTTGAGCGTGAAGAAAAGATGCTATACGGTCAAGAATGAAAAAAAAAAAACAGACGACACTAAGAGCGCTCATGCGGTCGTCTGTTTTCCTCCTTCTTGACAGTATAGCATCGTTTCTTCACGCCAAAACTGAGCTGCGCGAAAGAAATATATTTGCAACTTACAACTAACACAGTGACCTTCCTTTCACTTATTTTCCCACTCTATTACACCATCATCTACCACCTCCGGTTACCAGGGAGCCAGTGAGGTGTGTACGATTCGTACTCCATGGTAACCAATACGATTCAGTTACAATTAAAAGAAACTTTAGAATGGCAGATTTACGCGAACGCAGCCCCATTGGTTTTACCACCATGCCATTTCCCCGAACAGAGAAAAGAAAACAATAAAACTAAACTTCGGGCTTCACTATGGACCACTACCAGGGCGATGTTGATGACGATGGTGGGATTATAACGATAACAATACCGCACCATGTTACCGACCTACGTCTTTCGCTTCACCTTACTCGTGGTAAATAGGTGCTGTAGAGTATATGTTTTATCGCAGTCGGAGCTCGGAACACGCGATAAACTTGATCAGAACACGTGGCTCTCAGTGTTCAGATTAACCGCATAAAAGCATTCAGCCCGACCGCCGCAAGAAAGATGTGTTACTTCGGTCAACGAAAATCATTCGTTGTATTCATTGCTGGCGTTGTTTTCGTTTTAAGACTTGTTACTTTTTGTTTCGAGTTATGCTTATGATGTTATATCTCCCTTCGGAGTGTTTTCAACGAGCTGATTTTTTTAACTGTAGCGGTACAGTTCACTATTTTGACGGTTTTATTATTCGTTGAGCATATTGTTGCATTTGCCTTTGTGACGGAAACTTAGTTATAGTGTCAATGAACTATTTTATTTCCATATTTTCCATCTACAACGAAGCATTTATTTTATGACACGTCAGCTTCTGCCCATCCCCATCTCAGCTAAGGGTTGTACTCCTGAAGGTATCGAAAAAAAAAAGAACGAAAATCAAGCATAACCCATGACGAAAAGCTCATGTCATGAAGGAAGGTGAAAATGCCATCTGTAAGGATTCGGAACAACCCCCTTTTCACCAGCGAGCGCGCGCTTTCGTGCACCTAACGCACTTTACTGTATGCCACTACTACGAAGACCGAAAAAAAGATGACCCAACGCGATGTATTTCAATTGTCCATCCTTCAGTTCCCGACAGAACAACGCTACACCCCTGATGCGCCGCGTGCCAGTCGGGCTTACCAAGAGAGCAAGAGAAGAAACTGCAACGGAGCTGTCTGTGATAAGAAAAGAGAGAGAGAGAGAGAGAGAAACAAATGCAAAGCCGACGAAAGAAAACAGCTTGAAGGACCGCTTAGCTTTTGTTGAGGTCTGCTCGTCGTTGGTAGTGAAAAAAGCAAGATGAGAAAAAGAAAGAGGGGTGTCACAGTTTCGGTTTCGCATTCGGACTGCCACGCCAACAATCTTATCAGCTCCCATTCAAAACAGAACAGCGCTGGCTCTAGCTCGGCGATTGCGGTGTGAGCCGAAATTTTTCACGAGGCGTTCGTCAAAAGAAAGGACCTTTATTGTTGCCCTCGCGTTATGGGATAGCGCGGTGAACGACGCGGACCCTCCCCCACAGAGGGCGCTCTGTACGGTTTCATTTCGCCGAGCTCCATTTTCTTTTGTCGACTGTCTAAACGACTACGCTCGGCTTATACGATGCATATGCTGCATTGGACGTTTGACTTTTTTTTTTCGCGAATCAGAAGATAGATGTAAGGGTGCGATAAGCTTGGAGGAAAGCAGCGGAGTAGAGCGGGGTGGGTGAGAGTCCGTAAGTTAACCCTATCATACTCGTGTGTGGAGTGGAGGTGTCCTTTTCGTGAGGGAGTCCTGGGGCTTCGCGTATCGCTTTAAGCCCAACTTTCGTCGTGTTCTCTGTACGTGGTCGACAACGTAGCTGCATACGTTATAATGGTAAGCACTATGCGACAGTGGTCGGTATAAACTGTGTCGTACAGTAAAGCGAAATGAATGGATGGATGAAAGAACTTTATTAAGGTCCAGTACGTTGTGATAGTTTTCTAGCCCTAAGCGGGTCACTCCCACGTTGATACCGAAAGACCTAGACTTTCAGCCGCTTTGCGAGCCCGTTGAACTGACCATAATTGTCCCTATAATGTAGTACTGTGAAAGAATCATTTACTTTCTCCTTAATGTGGGCATCACGGCTTTACAATGAAAACGACGCCGCCCTTACGGCCCGATTTGTGCCCACCCTATGAATGAACTTGTGAATTAAACATAATGCTATAATTAGAGCAGGAAGTTCGTGGGTTCGACTCATGGATGTCAATGCAGCGATCGAATGACAATCGAGGGCGAACACGTCCCCGTTGTGTCTTTACCGACATGTACACAAGTCTGCATCGTTCATTTTAACAGTCGAGCCAATGCTGATACCTTCTTTCACTTCTTATCCTTGCTCGGACTATTTCTATAGTCAAGACATACGTAAAAAGACCACGGAAGCGTATACAATATTTTTCCTAAGAAGGGCATGGCGGGAAGTCGGCTTATAGGACGACTTGATTAATGGGCCTTTTTTTTTTTGGAGGTATGCCTTACAAAATTACGTATTGGGGGCCCTCAAACTCACACGCTCAGCCCCCATGGATACGCACGCGAACGAAATCATGTTCATGCACTTTTCCAATGCGGTGTGCAGTACAACTAACTCCCATGTGCATTTACTGTAATCAAGAGGAAACGATCAGTCATTTTTCATTTTATTGTCGCCGTTTCGATTTATTCAGACAAGGCATACTTGCACCACCTCTTCAAAAACGGGGCCTGCAATTATCACAACATGATCTTCTTTCATTTGGAGCCTCTACACTGGGTTTCAACCACAGGGATGTTTTATTCACCGTTCAGGAATACATCACTGTGACTAAATGATTGTCTTTCTAAATTATGGTCTCACTATTCTTCCCTCATTTCTTTTTCTGCATATTTGCAATTCGCACTTCAAATCATAATAAATAACAAAAGTTTTTTTTTTTAGGAATGAAGCAATGCTGAAAGTATCGGGCAAATTTACCTCATAATCGGCCAATCCCCTCATTTAGGTACGA